AGCAGCAGCAGGAGGAGGAGCAGCAGCAGCAGGAGAGATGAAGGCTGTATCTCGCTCAGGAGACAGTAGAGAGGGTGTCTCCTTCAATGAAGCAAAGACAATAGCTACGAGCAAACAAACTGCAGCAGAAGAACAGCCAGCAGCAGATTCTTTACAAAACTTCTTTCAGGGTCTTATTGCGAAGAGTAAGGATTATCTGTCTCTTCTTTTTTATTTATTTCTTTTCTTCTGTCTCCTTTTGTCTGTCTGTCTCCTACTGTCTCCCTGTCTCCTTTTGTCTGTCTGTCTCCTTCTGTCTGTCTGTCTCCTTCTGTCTGTCTGTCTCCTTCTGTCTGTCTGTCTCCTTTTGTCTGTCTGTCTCCTTTTGTCTGTCTGTCTCCTTTTGTCTGTCTCTGTCTCCTTTTGTCTTCGTTTGTCTTGTCTTAATCTGTCTCCTTTTGTCTGTCTCTGTCTCCTTTTGTCTCTTTGTCTCTTTTTATCTGTCTCTGTCTCTTTTTATCTGTCTCCTTTCATGCTTTCTCTGTCTCCTTTTAAATTAATCTGTCTCCTCTGAATTAAATCTGTCTCTCTTCTTTTAATTTAACCTGTCTTTTAAACTAAACGAATTTAATTTAACTAATAAAATTAAAATAAATTAAATTAATCTGTCTCCTTTAAATAACATCTGTCTCCTTTAAATAAAATCTGTCTCCTTTTAATTTAGTATCTGTCTTTTAAATTAAATTAAATTAAATTAAATTAAACTGTCTCCTTTGAATGAAACTGTCTCCTTTTGCATGCAGACAGAGGCCGGCCGCCTCCTACACCGCGCGAGCGAGCGAAGGCGCCTGTACGTTTTAAGCCGCCTCCAGCAGACGCTGCATCAAATGCTGCTAATAAACAGTAAAACAAACAACTCGTGCTGCAGCAGCTGCAGCAACTGCAGCAGCAGCAGCAGCAACTGTCTCTTATGCTAATGCTGCTGCTGCTGCTGCTGCTGCTGCTGCGAAGTAAATAATTCCTCTTCGCCACGCTGCTGCTTTTGCTGCTTTATTTGTTCTTACTTTCAAAAAATACAAATTCGTTTACTGGCTTGCATCAGCTAGCTAGCTAGCTAGCTAGCTAGCTAGCAAGCTAGGTGTCTCCTTCTTTTAGTAGCTCTGTAGATAGCGATCTCCTCTCTTTGCTAGCTAGCTGTCTCCTCCTATTGGTAGCTAGCTAATGCCTTAGGTGGCTAGCTAGCTGCCTATGTCGCGAGCTAGCGAAAGAATTACTCTGCAGGATATCGTTGGCTAGCTGGCTGTTAGCTGTCTCCATGAAGAGAAAAATAGTTACTTCATTCGATTTGTTCGTTGTCTTGCAGCCTGGCTAGCTAGCTAGCTAGCTAGCCAGCCAGCTAACACTGGGTAGTTGCCTACCTAGCTGGGTAGGCAACTACCCAGCTAGGTAGGCAACTAGCAAGGTAGCTAGCTAGGCAGCTAGCTAGCTTCTAGCTAGCCAGGTAGCTAGGTTTGCTAGCTAGCCAGCTAGCTAGGTCGGCAGTTAGCTGGCTAGCCAGCTAGCTAGCTAGCTAGCCAGCCAGCCAGCTGGGTAATGTGTTTGTTTAGAAGAGTAAGGAGGGAGAGTGTGTTGTATTGAGGCCGTTTGCTGCTGCTGTTTGCATGCAGTTTGTTTTGTTTGTTTGTTTGTTTGCTGCTGTTTATTAATGTGTTTGTTTTTTTGTTTTTCTTTGTTTCTTTGTGTCAATTATTATTATTTATTATTATTTATTTCTATGCTATTGTCATCATCAGCATTATAATTATAATTATTATAATTATTATATTTTAAAAGTTATTCTCTGTAGAATCCGAAGAGAACAGCAGAGCAGATTTATAATAATAATAATACTAATAATAATAATAATAATAATAATATTATTATTATTATTATTATTATATTGAAGTTATTATTCTCTGTAGAATCCGAAGAGAACAGCAGAGCAGAGAATATTTTTGTTCTGGAGTGTGCATGCAGCCCAGCTGTCTAACTGTGCATCACAGAGAGTTTTGCTTGCTGAGAAGATGCCTTGACCTTTTGGCTGTATAAGAGAGACTTGAATAATTAATTTATATCGTGGGAGCTTCTGAGTTTGAAGAACAGCAGCAAGAAGCCGAGAAGCAAGTGCCTGAGCCCACTCAGAGGCAGACGATGCTATATATTCTTCTTTATCTTTTAAGTATTCTTCACAAACAGACTGCAGAACTTCTTCTACACGCGAAGGATAAAACTTCTCATCTTCTGACGGCCCTAAACGATATGTAGGCTCGGGAATAAAACCCCCTCCTGCTGCTGCTGCTGCTGCTGCTGTTGCTGCTGTTGCTGCTGTGCTGGACGCCATCTGCAGCACACAGTGCAACTCTTTTGCTGTTGCATACGATTCAATACATATATGTGTGTATATCTGTACATATATATATATATGTATAAGCATATATTTTTAGTTTTATAGTATATATATAGCTATATATGCTGTTATATATATATATATATATTTACATATATATATATATATATATATACATATGTATTAGAAGAGTGTAGAATAAATATTTAGTTTGAGGGCCTTAAGGAACTCGCAAACAGAGCGTAAGCATCTTCTCTTTTGTTTATCTGTATATATATATGTAAATATATATAAATATATGTTTATGTATATATATATATATATATAGTATGCATTGTTTTACATTGTGTTTATGTAGTTAGTTGTTTACTGCATCTACTTGCTGCAGGAGGGACGCCGCCGTCTCCTTTCCTTTGCCTGGCCTGAGCCTTCGGGGGGTCGCAGCAAATTTGGATTGTGCTGCTGCTGCTGCTGCTGCTGCTGCTGCTGCTGCTTATTCCCTCTTTCTTGCTGCTGCTGCTTTTTTGTTTCTTGCTGCTGCTGCTTTTTTGTTTCTTGCTGCTGCTGCTTTCTTGTTTCTTGCTGCTGCTGTCTCTGAGTCTTCTGGTTGGCTGTTCTTTTTCTTTTTCTTTGGAGAAGCGGCCGTTGTGAGTAACTTCAAATATAAATATATATATATATATATATATATTTATGTATATGTATGTATATATATATATATATTTATTTATTTATTTACAACTTTATGTAAATTTGTGTATTTATTTAGTTGTATATTATATGATGTAATGCATTGTATGCATAATAAAGATAGGTGTATATGTACATAATATATATATTTATATATATTTTATAGGAGTGAGTAAGAGCACATGCTGGCTGGTTCGCCAGCAGCCCGACGAACTTTCTTGTCCTAAGGCCGGCGAATAAAGGAAAATATATCAAAAATTAAAAGAGAAGAGGAGACGCAGACAAAAAACAAACAATCAAACAGACAACACAAAAAAAGAAAAACATTCGTACTAAAACAATGTGCGCGCGGTGCAGGAGTAGAAATGCCGTTCTCTGCTTGTTTTCCTCTTCAAGAGGAAAAAAACAAAATAAATAATAAATAAAATTTTGAATTTTAATTTAAAATTCTTTTTTTTATTTTCTACACGGGTGATCTACGCAAATGCTGAAATCCGTGCAAGCCGTCGCAGTGACCCTGAGGTGTACGTACAGCCCACAAACGGGGGGGAGAAGCAGCATTTTTTTGAATATTTCTTGTGTTTAAATGAGCGAAATAAAGCTCAACTTAAGATTATTTATTTAAATAAATTAATAAATTAATTAATTAATCAGGGAAATAAAGCTGCGCCGCACAGACTTTTTTTATCGTTTATTTTGCCGCCTTACGAATGCAACTGAACGAACACCTCTCGGGTGTACGTACACCTCAGCAGACCTTCTTCTTCTTTTTCTCTCTTTCTCTGTCTCTCTCTTTCTGCATATATATATATATGTTCATGTATCTACCGCTCTCTCCCTCTCTCCCTCTATAAAGAGTGAAGAAGTAAATTTGCATAGTGAAGGAATAACAGATCTTTGAGGTTTGTACGTACAGCTGGGAGGTAATATAAACAAGCATCTCTTCAGAGAGTAAACACAGACAATAATTTGCTGCTGGTGTTTGTTTCTATGCACGAATGCCTCTAAAGGCCTTCAAACAAAATCTTTTAATATATCTGTTTGTTGAGTTTTAATATTTAAAGGGTAGTTTGTCGCATCAAGCAGAGTCAGAAACTCTTTAAAAAGACAGCAGATATCTTCACTCAGGTCGTGTATACCTTTGCAAGGCAATTGTACAGAAATAAGAAATAAATTATTCGAGTTAACTATTAATATATTATATATAATATTATAGCATATTGTCCTTCGCTCAACACGAAACCCTAAACCCTAAACCCTAAACCCTAAGCAGCTTGCCTGCATGCATATGCCCTAAACCCTTTGTCTGTCTCTACAGGGATATTATGTTTGATTTTCTCTGCCTCTATGTCTCCTCTTGGTTATTGTCTCCTTTGTTTGTCTCTTTCTAACTCGTCGCTATTATTATTATCATTATCAGCAGCAGCAGCAGCAGCAGGTGCAGCAGCAGCAGATGAAGCTGCACTGCGGTGTACGTACACCTCAGGTGCTGCACACTTCATATTATTGAAAGCAAATTAAGGATAAAAGTCGTTTGGTGTCTCCTAAAGAAAAAACAAAACAAAAACTTTGCTTTAAGCGACATTATAATCCTTAAAGACAGCCCAGCCCCGGACTTCTTTCCTGTTGTCTCTGTCTCTGTCTCTGTCTCTGTCTCAGTTGCTGTCTCTTTATCTCTCTGGGTGTATATTCGTAGTTCTATGTCTCTGTCTCCTTCTCTGTCTTCGTTTCTGTCTCCTTCTCTGTCTCCTTCTCTGTCTTCTTCTCTGTCTCCTTCTCTGTCTCCTCTGTCTCCTTCCCCGTCTTCTTCTTTGTCTCTGTTTGTCTGTCTTTGTTTATTTATTTGTCTGTCTCTCAGCGTCTCTTGCTATCTCTTTATTTTGCTGTCTCCTTCTGTCTCTTTTTGTCCCTGTCTCTGTCTCTCTCTTCTGCTGTCTCTCTCTGTTCAATTTGTCTCCTTTTGCTGCTTCTTCCTTTCAACGCTGCTGGTGCTGCTGCTGCTTACAGCAGCAGCTGCTGCTGCTTCTGCTGCCGTTGCTGTTGTTGCTGTTGATGCTGCTGCTGCTGCTTCCCGCTGCTGCTGCTGAGGTGTACGTACACCCGAGAGCATCGCTCTGCATCGCTTAATATGTTGATGAGTCCCTTGAAGCCGCAGCAACTCTTCACAAACTCTATTGCATGCATGCGGCGCCACCCTCCCGCTGCTGCTGCTGCTGCTGCTGCTGCTGCTGCATGAAAACTGCTCTTGCTGCTGCAGCTGCTGCATCCCCTGATGCAGCTCTGCACTCGGAGCCCAGCCTATCGAACCTTTCTGCTGCTGCTGCGGCACTTGCTGCTGCTGCACCTGCTGCTGCTGCTGCAACTGCTGCTGCTGCACCTGCCGGAGGTGCACATGTTGCTGCTGCTGCTGCTGCTGATGCTGCTGCAGCTGCAGCAGCTCAGGGATGATTCGAAGAGCAAGTTCTGCTGCTTCAATAATAGCAACACGCCGCGACCACTGCTGCTGCTGCATGCAGCAGCAGCGAGAAGCATCTCTCAGGTTATCATGCATAACTTGTCCTTCAGCTGTAAAGCCAGCAGCAGCAAGAGCAGCAGCTCGCCGCTGCTGCCGCTGCTGCTGGCGCTGCTGCTGCTGCTGCTGCTGCTGGGGATCCGCGGTTTCGGTGCCGTTGTGTGTATCGCTGCGTCGTCTCCTTTTGCTGCTGTTGCGCTCGCCTCTTCTTGCTGCAGCATCTGCTGCTGCTGCTGCTGCTTCTGCTTCTGCTTCGGGGCAGTCGGGCTCCCGGTGCAGCAACCCGCAGCAAAAGGGCTCCTCCTGCAGCAGCAGCAGCAGCAGCCGAGGGCACAGCAGCAAATCGCTTGAATCTGCTGTTAAGCGGCAGCGTAGATTCACAGGACGAGCAGGGATGCAGCAAACACCATCAGCTGCTGCTGCTGCCGCCGCCGCCGCTGCTGCTGCTGCTGTTGTTGCCGCTGCTGTTGATTCTCCGGCTAAGGGTGCTGCTGCCGCTGTTGTTGCTGCTGCTGTTGTTGCTGCTGCTGCAGGGCCCCTTGATGTGATTGCTGCTGCTGAGGCGCTTGTTGCTGTTGCTGCTGCTGGTGGATGCTCTAACGGTGCTGCTGCTCCTGCTGCTGCTGCGGGTGCTGCTGCTGCGGGTGCTGCTGCTGCTGCATCTGCAGCGGGAGCCGGAACGAAGCGTACGTTGCAGTGTTGCTGCAGCAGCGGGATAAGCAGCTGCTGCTCCGCAAGGAGCTGCCTATACACCCGAGCAGGCTGCAAGGGGAAGGGTGATTTGCGGTGTATCTGCAGCAGCGTACGACTTACGCAATAAGGCATGTCTTTTAAGAAAACTGCAGCAGCAAACAGCAGCAGCAGCAGCAGCAGCTGCTTCTCAGCAGCAGGAGACATCCCTTTCGTTATAAACGCCCAAGAGAGACAGGCGTCTCCATCTGCTATATACTCTAGCAGCAAACCGCAGCGCAGCACAAATGCCGCGCTGCTGCTGCTGCTGCTGCTGCTGTTGCTGCTGCTTGTGCAAGGAGAGAAGAAGTAAATCAGCAAACCTTCACTTGCTGCATCTGTTACTGCGGCCCTCAGCCCTCCTCTCAGCTGCTGCAGCGCCTGGTGCCGCAGCAGCGGAGCTGGAATAGACCCCTGTCGGAAGCACGAAGAAGAAGCTTCCTGCTGCTGCTGCTGCTGCTCCTGCTGCTGCTGCTGCTGCTCCTGCTGGTGATGGCGGTCCTGTTGCTGCGACTGCTCCTGCTGCTGCTGTTGCTGCTGCTGTTGTGGCTGCTGCTGATGCTGCTGCTGCTGCTGTTGCTGCTGTCGACGGCATTGGTGACTCGGACTCTCCCTGCTGCTCGTGCTGTTACTGCTGTTGCTGCTGCTGCTGCTGTTGCTGCTGCTGCTGCTGGCAGTGGCACTGGTGGTGGTGGTGGAGGTGCTGCTGCTGCTGCAGGTGCAGCTATTTGCGGGAGCGCAGCAGCAGTTGTCTCTTTCGTTGTGAGTCGCTGCTGCAGCGTTTTTGCTGCTGCCTGCTGCGCGCCTCCCTCTGGATATCGGCGTCCCGCCGGAGCTGCTGCTGCTGCTGCTGCTGCTGCTGCTGTCTTCTGCTACATGCACTGGGGCTTTGTTGCTAGCTACAGACGCCACCAATCTGTGAAGATTAGATAGCTCGACAGCATCTGTTGCTGCATGCAGCGGCAGCCTGCAGCAGCAAGGCAGCAGCTGCAGCTGCGCGAGAATGCTGCTGCAGCGCAGCAGAGCCCCATCCACTGCAGCAGCAGCAGCAGCAGCAGCAGCAGCGCATTCGCTCAAATGGTAACAGCTGCCACCGCAAAAAGAACATGATGAGGCATCATCGGCTCCTTCCAAATTCGCTGCTGTTGCCGCTGTTACTGCTGCTGCTGCTGCTGCTGCTGCTGCTGCTGCTCATGCTGCTGTGGAGACAACGGGGCGCAGCGTCCTCTGCAGGACTTCCGACGCGACAAGAAGAAGGTGGGTCTTGAGGTGAGCATTTCCGCTACTGCTGCTGCAGTTGCTGCTGCTGCAGTTGCTGCTGCTGCAGTTGCTGCTGCTCTTGCTACGGTCTGACAGAGAGGTTAGGGGTTGCTGCTGAAGTTATCAGCAGCCCCTGATAAGCAGTTGCTGCCAGTGTACAAGGGAGAACTTGGTTGCTGCTGCATGCATGCATGCATGCAGTAGCAGCATCAGCAGCAGCAGCAGCGGCTGGGGCCCGAAGACCACCATTTATTCAGTTGTCTTCTGAAAAGTATTTATTTTTTGTAAATGTTTGCATTTAAACAAAACTTTCTGTCTAAATAAATTAAAATAAATTAAATTTATCGCTCAAACAAAACAAAATAAAATACACAACGCCGCCAACTCCAGCATCGACGCTGCGAAGGCACTGCACGATTCTGCAGCAGCAGCAGCAGCAGCAGCAGCAGCAACAGCAGCAGCAACAGCAGCAGGAGCACCAGCTGCAGCAACAGCTACGGCAGCAACACCAACACCAACAACAACGACAGCAGTAGCACAGCAGCAGGAAGCATGAGCAGCAGCAGCAGCGGGGAGACCCGCAGCCAGATCCGCAGCAACAGCAGCAGCAACAGCAACAGCAACAGCTGCTGCTGCAGCTGCCACAGCAGCAGCAACAGCAGCAGCAGCAGCAGCAGCATTGCTAGAGGAGGTGAGTTTATAAAATATGAATTGAAAGGCTTTACAGGTCTTTCTGCTTCTTTGTTCCCTCTCCTCCCCCAGCTCAGAGTTGATATATTTTTGTTTAAAGATATTAAAAATGCAAACACCCTCAGAGAGACGCTCTTGCTGCCACCTAGACAGCAGCAGCAGCAGCAGCAGCAGCAGCAGCAGCAGCAGCAGCAGCAACAGCAGCAGCAAGTTGAACAGCAGCAGCATCAGAGAGAACCTACGACCCATACGAGAAGCAGCGCTCCAAGCAATAACAGCAACAGCAGCAGCAACAACAACAACTGCAGCAGCAGCAACAACAGCAACAACAACAACTGCAGCAGCAACAGCAGCAGTAGCGACATAGCATCTCATGCGTTGAGCAGTTTGCTGTCGGGTTCTTTATCTGCAACAGTCGATGCTGCAGTTTGGGGTGTGGGGCGAGTGTGGGGCTTTTTGCTGCTAAATGCATGCGCTCTGCTGTCTCTGGAGCAGCTGCAGGTGGCGCTGCTGCGGTGTCTCTGCTGCTGCTGCCAGCGCAGCACAAAAAGTAAAAGCTTCTTTACTGAATTTATCTTAGCTTTATCTGGAGGCAGCAGCATTTCTGCTGCAATTAATAAACTCACACTGCAGCAAGACACGCGCAATCTGCTGCTTGTTTCCTTCTCCGAAACTCTACCCTGCAGCAGCTGCTGCAGCAGCAACTGCAGCAGCAGCAGCAGCAGCAAGATGAAGCCCCTCATCCCTTTTAATGCAGGCTGCATGCTCTTCTCTAAGGGAGAAGGGAGAAGCATTATTGACGAGCTGCAGCTGTCAGCAGCAGCAGCAGCAGATGCAGCAGCAGCAACAAATGCAGCAGCAGCAGCAGCAGCAGATGAAGAGCGAAGGCAGAAGCTTTTGCTGCTCGCCCTGCAGCAAATCGAAGGAGAGAATGTGCCGCTAGATAACGCCTCCACCTACAGCAGCATATCCAGATCGCTGCAGCAGCAGCAGCAGCAGCAACAGCAACAGCAGCTGCAGAAACTGTATGGAGTCAGCAACGCAGAAGCGCAGCTGCCTGGCGGGCTGCATGCTGCTGTCATCTCGCGAGTCGCTGCTCGTCATATCTAAGCAGCAGCATCAGCAGCAGCTTCTCGGAGCTGCTGCATCTGGGGTGTATATACACCGCACAGGGGAGTGCATGCGGCTTGTTGTTTCTTTTCTGCTGCAGACTGTCTATTTGAATTTGTTTATATTTCCTTTGTCTCTAATTATATTATTATATTTACTCTCTAATAGCCAGCACACAATTTAATTATTTTTTTGCTGCAGCTGTCTAGGACCCATTGTACACGCAAATAGCAACGTGCAGCAGCAGCAGCAGAAGCAGCAGCAGCAGCTGCTGCTGCTGTATGTTGCTGCTGCTGCTGTGTTGCTGCTGCTCCGCAGCACTAGTTTCCCGAAAGCAAATATCGCAGTAAATCAAGCTGCTGCAGCAGCTGCTGCTCCAGCTGCCGCTGCTGCCGCTGCTGTTCTCGCCGCTGCTGTTCTCGCTGCTGCTGCTCTCGCTGCTGCTGTTCTAGCTGCTGCTGCTCTAGCTGCTCCAGCTACTGCTATTCTACCTGCTGCTGCTGTTTCAGTATCAGCAGCAGCAACAGCAACAGCAGCAACAGCAGCAGCAGCAGCAGCAGCAGCAGTTAGCGCCTCATTCCTAGAGACTCTTCGAGTATGTGAAATCCACGCAGCACCAAATTGGCGTCCATTCGTCTCTGCACAAATAAATAAATAAATAAATAAATAAATAAATAAATAAATAAATAAATAAATAGTAAACTAATTAATAAATATATTAATAAATAAATAAATAATAGTAAGGGGGAAAGAGATAAGTAAATGAATTCTATTAAATGCGGTGAAGACAGAGACAAATCAATAAATAATAATAAGACAGAGAGAGACAAATACATTAATTATATAAAATATATATTAATTATATAAATAAAATATATATTAATTATATAAAATATATATTAATTATATAAAATA